CCACCTCCCACCCCCTCCCTTACCCCCCGCCTCAACAGCCTAATGACTCCTGGAGGTTCCATTTGTAAGGCTCCCATAGAAACACAGCCACAATAGGCCCCATCTTGAGAGGGCCCATCTGGGAGTCTTTGTGGGGCCTGCTGAAAGCCACAAAGGCCCGCTGACCTAGAAACCCATCAATAAGAGAACAGGGAGCCCCACCGACAACAAATTGAAGAGCCATGGAATTTCCTGGGCCATCCTAAGTCCGTAGGTGAGGACATAGACCAGGAACGTGGGAGGGGGGAATTCTCCGGATGTTTGAGGATGACATGTCAGGATGTCATTCCCAAGCTGTCAGCTGTATGCCCATTACCTTTAACTGTCACTGCTGCCTTTGTCCTTGTGCCCACTGTTTGTCATTGTGTGAAGAGGCCTATGAAATCTTTTCAAAATGATGATTGTGACAGGAAGCAGCAGTAGCATGCTGGGTAGAGTTATGTGCCCTGCTCATGGGGGGGGGTTCATGGTGATGATGCAGCCTTTTTTTGTGGGTTTCGGGTGTGGAAAGTGGCCGGGTGGCCGCTTTGTGTGCACCGAGAAAGGCCACCTTTGGGAAAGTATGTTTGTCCATTTAATGCTTTAGACCTCTAAATGAGACTGTAATGTCATCACTCCAAGCTGTGAATGACCCTCTCTCCCTTTGTGTTTAAAAGTCTCTCGTATAACTTTTATACGCCTTTTAACCTACTTTTATGACAATAAATACACCTGATGTGAATGACACTAGAAATATTATAATGAAAGGATGCCATTGCCATCAGAATCCACACAAAAATCTGAGAGATTCAAATAAAGCAGATCTAAAAAAGCATTTTGAGGACAGACACTAACTTATCCTACTTCTGCCTCTTCCTGTCAGTTGCCCTGACAACTGGGGGTGTCTTTGCATTCCTGTGGAGGGGTCAGGTGAATGCTTAAGACAGGTGTCTCCCTCTCACCTCCACTGCTGGTTAGTGATATGATAGGTGGAAGGGGACAGGACTGACCTTAACAAGAGAGCTGAGGATGCCGTCTCCACTTTGATAGTCAGATCACACAGCAATACCTATGTTTCTGTGCCATGTCAATTGCCACTTCATCTGTTCCCTACAAAAGGTGGCCCAAATGTGGTCCTTACATCAATTACACTCAGTAACTGTGATGTGGCCATGAACTGCAGGGTCTGTGGTGTGTGAATGAATGGTCAGAATGAGACAAGATCCAATGATAGACTTGAGGTTGTTATATTTTTCATAGGGACGATGTTGTCCCTATTTTATCACTAAATCCTTTCCTTATGTCCCACAGATATTGTTAGCAGTATGGCATTGATTGACAGTTTCTTCAGAGCGTATGTTTATCTGAGTTTTCCACTCGTACTCAAATTCTGATTGTTGTTGTTGTTTTGTTTCTTTTTTAGAGGAGGACCGATATGACAGCTATTCTCGTATGATCTTGAAGTACTTCCTGGCAGAAGGAGTGGTGTGTCGACATGAACTTTTTGTGGCGGCGGCTCAAGATAACCCAGATGACATCTTACAGGTATGAGAGGAGGTGCCATGTATATTCTGTAAGCTCCCGAAAGTTGTTGTTCTGTGAAGTATGATGTTTGACAAACCGTCACAAAGAAACTAAGATGGCCTCAATAGGTCTACTTTAACATTATGTCTGTACAACTACTGTACTGTCAAAAAGACATTTTTAAAAACTTTGGTTTACATTGTAGACATCAGAAGATGTTGGAAATAAACTGCATTCTTCTGCTTACTGCAAAAGTAGTTTTTTGTCACAATATATTGATCAGCTCCCACTTTACAGTATGCAGCCTGGTTCAGGCTAGTCAGACCGTGATTTAGAAGGTATTATAGGCGCACAGCTTTCCCCAAGATGTGTCAGGGTCAGTAGGGGTGTCTGAGAGGTCGAGGGTGGCATGGTTGTGGCATTGTTGAAATGTTTCCCGATGCATCACTCTGTGAAGAGGACCATAGCCCCAGAAGCTGACTGCCACCCATCATACAGGAGGAGGGCCTCTCTCCCACTGATTGATAGTGGGAGGGGTCACAGCCTCACCCTCTCTTTACATATCAAAGGCTTATTAAGAGAGGGGGACTCCCAATGGGGATATATCACATCATTTAGTGTTTTCACAGCTACATTCACAGTATGCTAATTTTCAGATGCTATGGTTGTACTTTATGCATTATGTTAACATGCATTCAAGAAACCAGCTTATTGGGAGAAATCAAATTAAAGCAGGAAATTGGAGAACACATTCACATGCACTGCAGTAACTCTAGAAAACCCACATTTAATTGCATTAGCTAATCAGATTTCCCACACATCCTTACCGTGTTTTTGAATGAGGCCTAGAAGGATTATTTTCCTTTTTTGTTTTACTAGTTACACAATATAAGAACAGAACTGTCAATCAATCAGTATGAATTTTACAAATAATCTACTGTTCAGCTTTAGAAACGAAGTTTGACTTATTTCAGTTCAAGTGTTAGTCAGACTTTGGATATAACTGTGTTTGATACAATGACGCACCCCAACAAGGATTATTCATCCCTTCACACTGCTGCCACAGCAATACTTTTCCTCGCTGAAGGCTTTGTCAGGCACATGTGCTCTTGTAAAAACCCCATTAGAAACCCAGTTAAATTTATACATGGCCAAGAAATCAATCATTCTCCAGGAAAAGCTCACTGTTTGTGTTTACATAACATTTTAGGGAATCTGGGTACTGTCAAGCTGACACTTGAGTGCATGTGGATTATTCACTGATGGATAGGACTGTACTGACTGTATTTGTAATACTGTGACAAGTTGCATAATAATACACAGTAACAATAAGGATAATTAAAATGTCTCTTTGACCATTCACAATCCACATATTCTGAATTATTATATTAATTGTATCATTTTGTGCAGGAACTCCCGGCTCCCATCTTAGATGATGTTGCTATCCATAAACCAGTGGAGCAGCCCAGGCTGTCTTGTGAACCTCAGGACAGTTTGGATGCCATGAAGATTGCCTGGCGCTATCAGAATCTTCCAAAAGTACAGGTGAGCACATGCCAGTTTATATTTTCTTTTATTATAATGATGGCAGCATATGTTGACTAGAATATACAGTAGAATATAGGTAACTTTGTGATCATGCAACTTTCATTAAAAGTCCAACATGTGTCTCTGTTAATGATGGTATGAGAAAGAACTGCACTGGCTCTCTGGTCTTAGTGGTTTGGCAATTGTCTCCACCACTAAATCCATGAGCTTCTAAACTCCTTTGTGGAGTGAATGAGGCCTCAGCCTCTCCTTTCAGAGCTGGACCAGATTACTCACACTTAGCTGGCAATAGGTAGGCTTTTCACTGGTCCCCAACTCACATATACACAGATACACACACGCCTGCACCCCTGCTTAGCCTGGGAAACAAGAGTACTTTGCAGTCTGTGCATTGACATGTCTGCTCGCTCAACCCTATGACCCAGACCTGCGCCTCTGTCTTCCCCCAAATCCCTGCCTTTCCCCCTGCTAGGGTCGGCAGCCCTACACTCTTTCTTCCGCTTTGAGAGGTGACCCTCCCCTTCTACTTCTCTGCAGTCTCCCCCCTTCTGTCTATAATCCATATCGCTATGTGGATTAACAGCACACAGTGTGTCCCTGGGGATCCTCTCCCTCTTTCTCTCTCCCTGGAAACTTCTTTATATCTGTGTCCTTTCCTCACCTCTCCCCCTTCCCCTGTAAAATCGTCTTTACAAACCACTAGTAAGCCCCCCAGAGGATTTGCATCCCAAATTCACCCCCAGAGTCAACGCTTACTTTCCCCTTACACACACCTCTCCTGGCATAGCCCACTGTGTCGCTCTCTCGATGAAGACATCAGATCAAAGGTGAGGCCATCAGGGCGGGGATGGAACGCTAAGCGGGTTGCCTAGCTCACAAAGAGAAGATGAGCCCCTGACCCCCCCTGCCCTGCTGACCCCCTCGTCCCGCCAGGAGAGGGACACACCGGGGGCCCTAATCCAGATTAGGAGTAGATTAAGGGCCCCTCTAACAATGGAATCCCCGGTTTCACTGAGAGAGAAGAGCTAAAACTCTCTCTTTCAGCTGCAGGAAAACATCCGCCTTCCCCTGCGTCCCTGACACGTTTGCTTTCACAGCCAGAAGTGGACATTTATGTGAAGAAATGATTAAGACTGTGGTCATAGTGGTTATTTAACTTCTCTGCCGTTGGAATGTTGAGGAATGACCCATAAACAATGCAATTGCATTACCATAGTATTGTGAAGCACACTCATTTAACATATTAGAAAGACAATTAAGGTTATTTTTTCTTTATGAATAGCTTTATTCTTGTCAGAAATTAGTTAAATGCACATTGTTGGTTGTAAGTGGGTTAAAGCAAACAGTACTGTCAGACAGGGATGATTGGAAATAAAGATTTAAATGCTCTTTGATTGAAGGTCTTGCTAACGTGTCGCTTCATGCTTTAACATGCAATTGACTGGTTGACCTCCTCAGAGTGCCTTGGCATCCTCATCCCGGTTCGGGCACTACTATGACGTCTCCAAGACGATGGAGCCAGAAATTCGCCAGGCAGCCAAGTGCCACCGCTTCTACCTTCCCGAACATCCCACCCAGTCATCACCCACACACAGGTAAAACGACAAGACATCATCCGCAGAACGCATGGAAACCAATGAGACACCATCTGCAGAACACAGGCACACAAACCCGACATCCACAAAACACAGTTACACAAATAAGACATCATCCACAGAACACAGGTAAGCAAACATGGCATCGTTCACGGAATACAGGTAAACCAACAATGCAGACAGTCCAACATAATTTAAAGAGCACATACTGTATACGCCCTGCAACCAGCATGTGCATTAGAGAAAGGATAGATTGAGCTCTCCCCAATATCATATAGAGGTCTTTGCTTGATGTACTCATTTATAAGAATGTGATAAACTGAAGGGCTGCAGCTAAGAATGGTTTTCATTATCAGTCTTCTTTTTTTGTCTATAAAATATTAGAAAATAGTAAAAAATTACGGGAGAAATAAGTTCCTGAGTTAACATATCTTGTTTTGTATTAGCAGTCGAAAAATCTAAATTCACTTACTATAATATAAAACAGAAAAAAACAGGAATTCTTCACATATCACGAGCTGGAACCAGTTGATGTATTTTTTAATAAATATGACGGCAAAGATTATAAAATTGTTGCTGATTAATTTCCTGTCAATAAGCTAATTGATCAATTAATTGTTTCAGCTCTAATGAACTGTGAATATATTACCTCTAGCTGGAGCAAAACAGTACACCTTTTTGTATAAATAGTAATAATTGAGATTCATTGAATTGCTAACTATGAAAACATATTAATAATTACAACTGAAAGCCATTGCATCCAAAATAATGTTGTTGTTTTTGAAATTAATCTAAAAAACTCACTAGTTTTTACCCTTTAAATAACTGATACAAATCTGAATCATCCTCTATTCAGAGTAGTTTGCCATTGGCCTAAGACATTCAGTCTCTTGGAAAGGTTGTGTATGTCTATTCAAATAAGGGTCTTGTTTGCTCAGCGTCTGTTTGATTTCTCCTGCGTTGAGTGTACTTAGGGTTCAGAGGTCATGCAGGCTCTTTACTCTGAGAGTGCTGTTGAACACACAAGGGCACACGAAGGCACACTCACGCACACCCTGGGTAAATACAGCAATCTGGAGCGCAGAGGATGTGGAGGAGGCTTTACAGAATCCCTCTTCCTTTATTTCAGCAAACAGAGACTGTTTAACAGAGCACCCATGCAAACACATTACATGTTGTGGATGTTCAGTTTAGAATATACATTTTTCTAAGTATGGACGATAAATTAGACAGAATTTGCTATTGTACTAAATATCATTTTAGAACTGGGAAGGCCTATCAATAGGGAATAAATCAAATAATAAAATATCTTCTCTGGTGATGTTTGCAGCGTTGTGCGTCAGTCTGGCGAGTTAGAGTGACATGGTGGAACTGTTGTGGCGTCTGAATGGGTTATAGAGCTTACAGACATTTTGACAGCAGGAAACTACACCTGCACTGCACCATTGTGCCCCCAGCCCCGCCCCAATAGTGACACGCATACATACACGCACACACACACTCAGCACTTTACACACACACACACGTATCACACAAACTCTAAGCAGGCTACTCCCCCTTGCACGTGTCCACAGCCCCATGTTGATACCCTAGCTGTTAAATTGCTCCGTTTCACTTGAAGGCATAATTGGCACAAATTGCTCTCTAGGTGATACAGATCCTGTTGTTTAAGAGCAAGCATCCCCCTTCTCTCCTCCTTTCTTCCCTCGCTGAAAGAGGAAAACTGAGATAAAGAAGCGTCCCTGTGTATGATCCTAATTAGCCGAAGCGCTAGCCCCTGTAGCTAAGCACCTAGACCTTTTTGGTACCTGAATGAGGGAAGCTCAGTAGGGGTAGCTAAAACACAATGCCGCCCTACACAATGACTGCTAACCAGAGGCAACCTCCTGCTCAACTGCATGTCAAACCATCCCAGCCCCCTACCTCAGAGCAGGGGCATGGGCAAAGAGGCCAAGGAGGGTAGGTGTCCCTCTTTCACCAAACCAGCTCTATCATTAGCCCCAGCGGGGTCAGGAGGCACCATTGTTGGGCTGAATAACTGAAATAGAGTACATGGATATACTTGGCGCAAGTGTAATCAACACGAGTGTGTATTACTGTTCTTTATGCAGGGCTATTGGCGTGTGACCAATCTATGTGTATCAGCTTTTGTAGCCTGCAGGTCGAATTGACAACTGACATAGCAGCCCACTGTGACTCACTACAGAGTGGTCATTACAATGGTGGAGCGTTCTTAAGTGGGGGGGACCTGTGTAAAAAGATGGGGTTAACATTCGTATTGGCCATCCTATAGGCACATGGTGGGCTCAGCAGTAATCCATCCCTTGACTGTTACTAAATATTGCTCCGATGGTACTGTACGCCCTTTGTCAGTGGTGCACATCTTACCCCTGATTAAACACCAAAATGCTGTTCCGTGTTAATTTTAGATATCAGTCCATTAACCCCCCCCCCCCCTTCCCACTTATCATCTTTGTTGTGTGTATGTTTGTGCATATTCACGTCTTATCTGTCTGTCTGTCTGTCTGTCTCTGCACAATCAGATCCTCGGGGAGCTGACAGAGAACCAGTCATGTTGTAATTTAATCAACCAAATAAATTAATTGGATCTCTTGATATGGATCATCTGTCTGCTTCAGTGGCTCCAGAAAAGCACAGTCAGGAGGAACATGCTGCAGTCATAGAGGATTAAGCTACTGTGGTGATAGGCTTAGCCCAGTTTTATCAAAATGGTTTCAGTTACACTTTACACGTCCTAAGTAACCCTTTTGTGTTCTCTTTCTGGTTGTCTCCTCCACTATGTCCACTCTCTCCTCTCTCTTGTGGTCTTTTCAGTACCATGCTTGAGTCCTACTCTGCGTTGCTGAAGTCACTTCAAGAGGTCATTCACCGGGAGGGCTTTGAAGTAGCAGCCCCCATGGTAAGAAGTGAATGACTGCTTCACACTTGTGTCTTTCAACCTGAGGTTTTTGCAACATATTTTCCTCAACTACAACCTTTTGAAATGTGTATCTCCGTTTTTTTTTCTTCCAAACATTTCAAGCAAACCTGCACACCCTTTCACAAAACAGCTATTATACTGTGACTCTGTGTATACGTTTACGGCTATGACAGCAGACAAAGCAGCTGAACAAGAAAAACTTTCCACTTCAGGCCACCAATCTCTTCAGGTTGAGTTTTATCACCATTTCAGCCCATTTAACCAGTTGAGTGAAAGTGGAGTGATAAAATTTTTTGAAAATGGCTTAAGTTTTGTTTATAGCAATTCAAAAATAATAGTAATAATTTGTAACAAGCAGTTCAATTTAGTCACACATATCAGTTCTCTTAATCAAATCCACAAACTTTTAGTCAGGTCCCCTCTCAGTGTTTTTTTGTGGTTTTGGCTCTCTGATTGACAAAAAACTATTGCTGAAATGCAGTAAGGCATGCAGTAAGCTTCCGCCAGCAGTGATGCAACACAAAAGGCAGGTGTGCATTTTTTTCTACATTCAGTAAATGTCATTAAAGGTTAACTCTTTGACTTGCTGTTGCTAATGTGTTCAGGTAACACAAACAATGTTTGTAACCACACTTACTGCTGTGAGCCCAGTCAACCTATTGTGCATTCAATTTATTATGTATGATGTGCATTAGAGGAGCATTTTTTCAAGAATGATAGAAGATCTGCATGTCTGACTCTTAGCTCTTCTCTCGTATTCCAACCAACACTTCTCGAGTCTGTTTGCCTCTCTCTCACCTGCCTGGGTTGGCCTCACCTGTGTGTCCCAGTTGTGTGTGTCTTACCTTTGACATACATCTTTTTAATAATCATCAACCCTCTACAGAATGCCAGAAACATCCAAGGCCCCGTCTGTTTTCCACAGGGCCAAGTGTAATCCTGTTAACACTGTGATGTGCCTGTATATAGATGTGTATATATACAGTATTACCGTGTGTGTGTGTGCGTATGTGAACGTGTGCATGCGCCTTAATCACCTACATTTGGTGACCCCTCTGCTCGTCACCTGGAGCCACCTCTCCCCCCGTCACTCACACATAGGATTTACCTCCAGTACCCCCCACCCTCCCTCCCTGAGCGCTGTCACTCACACGCCAGATTAACTGCTGACATCATTAAAGCAGTGTGGCCGCCTGACATGCTGTTGGCACAGTCGAGGAATGCAGACCGGCACAGAGCGACATGGGCTCTGGCACAAGAATGCCCAGTATGGGTGATAGTCAGTGTGTGTGCGCGTTTATATGTTTATTTGTTTATCTATAATCATGGAATGGTAACAACATGCAGATTTCAGAGAAACTGTGTTATTTAAAGAACAAATTAGAACAAGGATTAATCTCCCTAAGCATATTTTCTAGTATAGTATAGTCTTTTGAGATGAGTGGGAGAGGGGTGGCAGCAGGACTGTGAGTCTCCACAGAGACTGGCTGGTGATTAGGTTGTGGTCCCAGGCTGGCTGTAGCCTATATGGCTGGCCTCTGGTCCTTGGCTGGACTCTACTGGCACTGTTCCCTGATTTTTCTATAGGATAAACTATAGGAGTTAAGTTTGGCCTCTCCTCTTGATGCCACAGCAACAGTCTTGTTACCACAGCCCCCCCCACCC